AATGGTGTCCCGATGACCGGGGGACTGTTGCCATCAAAGCCCGTGGCTCTAATTAAGTTTGCGAGTTCAAAACAGAAAAGAAAGCGCGAAAGAAGGTGGGGCACAGCAGACACCCATCACCGGCCAAGCCTCTCATCCGGGACTTCCACTCTTTCTACACAATCAGAAAGGGGGAAAGCGCCGGTAGCCCTTTCCCCTTTTCTCTCTCGCTCTCAAAGTGGCGCTACCCACGATAAAACGGTCTATACATGGGCTGCACCTACGCCACAAAAGGACGTCGCACGCCGGTGTCGACCATGCTGGTGGTTGAGACGACCGCGATTTGCAACAGAGCTATATGGAAGACGGTGGTGCGTTGGGCTGCAGCAAGCGCTCGCGCAACAAAAAAGAAGCGGAAACTACACGACCAGCTTCTACCGTACTCCGGCGATCGCAACATCGGTGTGCACTGCGACGGAGATGCTGTCCAGAAAAAGAAGGCACGAATGGCATGCAGAGCCGGCTCAGGACAGACGTCGATGATGCGGCCGCTCATTATTGAGTTTGCGGGGCGCATTTATTTGTTAGCGGTGTGTGACGCACTTTCGTAACGTGTTTGTGAATGCTGTCAGGGCCAATGCGACACCGACGCGCTAAAGTTAGTGGCCCCAGTGATGACTTTCCACTACACCATAAGTTTGTGTGGTAGAGAAAAACAGTCTAGTGAGGTGCACCTTGTGTTGTTGAGCAGCGCTTCGCAAACTTGGAACTCAGAAAATGTGGTTATGGTTGAGTATGAAGTCACTTCCTAATGTACACAACTTCACCATTCGAAATAACATTCAATCTCGGCTCCTGCACCCAGCCGATCGTCAAGTGGTTCTGTGTGCTTTAAAGTGTTTGCGTACAATAAAGCTTCTTTTTCGGACAAGGTAATCAATCTCGTGACAAGCGCTCTACTGGTCATGCGCTCTTGTGACGTGCACTCTAATGGCAAGCGCGCTCCTATCGCAGCGCTCTCGAGTTGCGCGTTCTAACGTCGGCGATCTAGTTACACTGAACTAGAATATAGGGGCAGTGAAAAAGTTTCGGCGGCGTCCCATCGGCCGTGTGAAGCCAGAAGTGCAGACTGCCGCGAGTGGCGCTGTTGTCGAAATCCGGAGGACATGGCTACTGTAACATGGGATATGGCGTCGCGTACGTTTGGAGAGCGATAACTAAATAAATTCTGTGCCGCTTCAAAAGCACTCGGGCATACGTGTCATAGACCTAGAAGAGATTCCTTATAATGAATTACAGACTGCTGAGCGTCGCCATTGATGGTACAATTCACGGCGCGTATGCCCGAATTTGTGGGAAACGCTCCCTTTTTGGCTGATTTTGGCGTCTGAGGCAACCTTTGGAGAGCGATAACTAAATAAATCCTGTGCCGCTTCAAAAGCACTCGGGCATACGTGTCATAGACCTAGAGGAGATTCCTTATAATGAATTACAGACTTCTGAGCGTCGCCATTGATGGTACAATTGACGGCGCGTATGCCCGAATTTGTGGGAAACGCCCCCTTTTTGGCTGATTTTGGGGTCTGAGGCAACCTTTGGAGAGCGATAACTAGATAAATTCTGTGCCGCTTCAAAAGCACTCGGGCATACGTGTCATAGACCTAGAGGAGATTCCTTATAATGAATTACAGACTGCTGAGCGTCGCCATTGATGGTACAATTGACGGCGCGTATGCCCGAATTTGTGGGAAACGCCCCCTTTTTGGCTGATTTTGGCGTCTAAGGCAACCTTTGGAGAGCGATAACTAAATAAATCCTGTGCCGCTTCAAAAGCACTCGGGCATACCTGTCATAGACCTAGAGGAGGTTCCTTATAATGAATTACAGACTGCTGAGCGTCGCCATTGATGGTACAATTGACGGCGCGTATGCCCGAATTTGTGGGAAACGCCCCCTTTTTGGCTGATTTTGGCGTCTAAGGCAACCTTTGGAGAGCGATAACTAAATAAATCCTGTGCCGCTTCAAAAGCACTCGGGCATACCTGTCATAGACCTAGAGGAGATTCCTTATACTGAATTACAGACTGCTGAGCGTCGCCATTGATGGTACAATTGACGGCGCGTATGCCCGAATTTGTGGGAAACGCTCCCTTTTTGGCTGATTTTGGCGTCTGAGGCAACCTTTGGAGAGCGATAACTAAATAAATTCTGTGCCGCTTCAAAAGCACTCGGGCATACGTGTCATAGACCTAGAGGAGATTCCTTATAATGAATTACAGACTGCTGAGCGTCGCCATTGATGGTACAATTGACGGCGCGTATGCCCGAATTTGTGGGAAACGCCCCCTTTTTGGCTGATTTTGGCGTCTAAGGCAACCTTTGGAGAGCGATAACTAAATAAATCCTGTGCCGCTTCAAAAGCACTCGGGCATACCTGTCATAGACCTAGAGGAGATTCCTTATACTGAATTACAGACTGCTGAGCGTCGCCATTGATGGTACAATTGACGGCGCGTATGCCCGAATTTGTGGGAAACGCTCCCTTTTTGGCTGATTTTGGCGTCTGAGGCAACCTTTGGAGAGCGATAACTAAATAAATTCTGTGCCGCTTCAAAAGCACTCGGGCATACGTGTCATAGACCTAGAGGAGATTCCTTATAATGAATTACAGACTGCTGAGCGTCGCCATTGATGGTACAATTGACAGCGCGTATGCCCGAATTTGTGGGAAACGCCCCCTTTTTGGCTGATTTTGGCGTCTGAGGCAACCTTTGGAGAGCGATAACTAAATAAATTCTGTGCCGCTTCTAAAGCACTCGGGCATACGTGTCATAGACCTAGAGGAGATTCCTTATAATGAATTACAGACTGCTGAGCGTCGCCATTGATGGTACAATTGACGGCGCGTATGCCCGAAGTTGTGGGAAACGCCCCCTTTTTGGCTGATTTTGGCGTCTGAGGCAACCTTTGGAGAGCGATAACTAGATAAATTCTGTGCCGCTTCAAAAGCACTCGGGCATACGTGTCATAGACCTAGAGGAGATTCCTTATAATGAATTACAGACTGCTGAGCGTCGCCATTGATGGTACAATTGACGGCGCGTATGCCCGAATTTGTGGGAAACGCCCCCTTTTTGGCTGATTTTGGCGTCTAAGGCAACCTTTGGAGAGCGATAACTAAATAAATCCTGTGCCGCTTCAAAAGCACTCGGGCATACGTGTCATAGACCTAGAGGAGATTCCTTATAATGAATTACAGACTGCTGAGCGTCGCCATTGATGGTACAATTGACGGCGCGTATGCCCGAATTTGTGGGAAACGCCCCCTTTTTGGCTGATTTTGGAGTCTGAGGCAACCTTTGGAGAGCGATAACTAAATAAATCCTGTGCCGCTTCAAAAGCACTCGGGCATACGTGTCATAGACCTAGAGGAGATTCCTTATATTGAATTACAGACTGCTGAGCGTCGCCATTGATGGTACAATCGACGGCGCGTATGTCCAAAATTGTGGGAAACGCCCCCTTTTGACGGTTGAGGCAAGCTTTGGAGAGTGATAACTAAATAAATTCTGGGCTGCTTCAAAAGCGCTCGGGCATATGCGTCGCAGAACTAGAGCAGATGCATTATTATGGCTTATAGAGTGCTGAGTGTCGCCATTGATGGTACAATTGGCGGCGCGTATGCCGAATTTCTGGGACACGCCCCTTTTTTGCCTGATTTTGACATATGAGTTTGTGATGACTTAAGAGATACTGGGCCGTTTCAAAAGCTCTTGGGCGCACGCGCAGCAAACCTACATAAGATTGATTAATTAGCAGTAACATCGTGCTAAATGTCGCCATAAATGGTACTCTTCATGTCGCTTTGGCCAAAATGTCTGGACCACGCCCATTCATTTTGGCATTTTTATTTTTAATACCATTCTTGGGAAAGGGGGGGGGGGGCGAGGAAGTGGAATAGCTGGTGAAATGAAATTTGGACACTTTGTAAAATATAGTTCGGATAAAAAAGCGTTTTGACTCCTTAATTATTTAGCGCTTTAAGTATAATGTATTTGAGCTAATGACGCGATGAGAACAAAAAAAAAAAAGAAAAAAAAAAACCTGCATTCAGGTTTCGTGTTTATCAATTAAGAAAATATTCAGTGTAGTTGCCGTTTTGTTATACATTACATATGTTGCTAAAAAATGTATTTAGGAACGCAACAACGTCACTGAATCCTCGAGTCTCCTCACCAACTGCGGATTCTTTTTGGTATTTAAAGTCCTGGGGAACCACTTTAAATTTAAGCAATTTGAAAATAAAAAATGTTTCCATGGAGCTAGAGACATTGGCTATATATATAGCAAAATGCAACTAAATTGATGGTGTGGTTCTCTTAGGGTTTGCATTGAATGTTGAAAAGACGTATGATTTTTCTGCGGTTCGCCATAGGAACCAATGAGTAAAAGTTTGGTTGCATTTTGGCCAGACTTAATATAAACCCAGGACCACGAAATTTCTCTTGGAGGTTGAGGGCAGCGTATTAAAACGTGACAATAAAGTGCAAAGCGATTGAGTGATTAGTTTTCTTTGTATAAAAAAAGATCGCTTTGGTCCATTGAGTTACGGGCGCCGGCGCAACGGCGGCCGATAGATGGCGTAAGTAGTGGCGGCGCTCGCCTGTCCGAGAATCTTGGGGTTGTTTTCAATCGCCCTAATTTTAGGATTTCTGAAAAAATATATATATATATATATATACATATTTATTTTATATCTTAGAATTGTGTTTGCATTACTCGGTCTATCTTATACTTTTCTAAAATTTTACATTATTGAAGCTTGTTGCTATTGAAAGACCTTAGTGATTTTATTATTTCGTATATTTTTTTTTAGTAGGCCGACTTGTAAGCAACATAAATAAACCTGCAGACAATTAAGACACTACAGGTGCAGCACGTGATTAAGGACTCTAAATTAATAAAATATAGTATGCTTCCAGTAGTTTTGTTTTTGTACAAAAAGGAGCCCCGCTCTCTTATTCCAAGGTAAATTCACATTTTTATTTCTGATTACACGACAAATAACAGGCTGACAAATTTTGAAGTATGTAAAACCCACACTGCTCGCAAGAAGACCCCTGCAGGTCTACCGCCAAACGATATGAACACACGCAGGAGCTCGAGTATTTCGTTTAAACCCCCTCCACAGCTATGACGCACGTGGTGGTTTCGATCACCTGTGATATATCTTCCGATGACTGTTTAAATTGCTATGGGCCGCAAACGCTCTATTGCAGGTCTCACATCTATAGGGCTTCTCTCCGGTGTGAGTCCTCTCATGATTCGCCAAGTTGGTTTTCCGAGTAAACGCCTTGCTGCACGTGTTGCACTTGAACGGCTTCTCTCCGGTGTGAATTCTTTCGTGATTCGCCAAGGTGCGTTTCAGAGTAAACGCCTTGCTGCACGTGTTGCATTTGAACGGCTTCTCTCCGGTGTGAGTTCTATCGTGAGCCATCAAGCCATACCTTTTCGCGAACGTTTTCTCGCAGACACCGCAACTGAAGGGCCTCTCGCCAATGTGAGTCCTCTCGTGGATGGCGAGACTCGCCGCGGAAGAGCTTGAGTGAGGACACAAGCGGCTCGGGTGCTTGTCCGGTTGTCGGTGCGTTTGCGGCTTTTGTGGGTCCGACCAGTTGACCTCGGGAAAGGTGTCACCCCTGCGGCTGTCACGGTAAAAGATGTCCACTTCGTCGTTATGGTATGCTTCTATCCAACCTGCTGGAATGACTCGACAAAACAAGAAAGGTCAGAGCTAGATGAACATGGCCCTGTATACCTACTTTGTTTGCGGTGCGGTTTAAAGTAGGTATTCATTCATTTCAGATGTTGAGAAGTCTCAATCGCGGTGGTGATAAAGGTCTACAGGTGATCGTCAAAGACTCGACTCTGGCAGCCCAATGGTGGGGCAGCTGTGGTAACTTGCACGTTCTGCTAACCAAGTGCAGAAGGAAACTCAAGCCGCCGCGGTCGCCGCTGTACAGTGTTGGCGGTAAGATGTTACAAATAACGTCGCTACCGGTAATGCGTTACTTTTTTCAGTAACGTAATAACGTAGTCGTTAGTTTCCCAGACAGTAACGGGTAACGTACTTAGCAGGGTGACCATATTCCTCAAGATAGGATACGGGACATCCTAGCCTGGGGAAGGGGGGGGGGGGGTACTAAAGATTGAGATTGGGAAAACAAATTTCTACACACGACTCTTCGCGATAGAAAAAAAATGTTTGTGGGCAAGAACAGTTCTCTAATTTTTACTCTGGGTAAATATTTTAAAGTTAAAGTACCCACTGGTATTTTTGTAAAATATACTTGTAACGAGTACACATCGTTTCGGTTTACTTCAACTCGCTTTGTGCCAACTTCGAAACCACGCACTGGTGCGAAAACGGGACAGGAATCTTTATTGGGAAAAAAAGACAGGACGGCAAAAGCGAACCTCAAAAACGGTACTTTCCCGGCCAAAACGGGACGTCTGGTCACCCTAGTACTTAGGTTACTTATTTTGAGTAACGGGTAACGAAATTAGCTTACTTGGTACACCTACCAAACACCTGGAAAAAGTACACATTTTTTGCGCGTTTTAGAGCGCAGCTCTTAGGCGCCCGTTTCCGGCTTGAGCGGCGTCGCCGTCGCCGTCGGCGTAACCGCACGGTGCATTATGGGCAAATTTTCGCGCCAAATCTAGCGAGAAAATTTCCCCGCTAAATCTAGCGGGAAAATTTCCCCGTTAAATCTAGCGGAAAAGATTTCCTCGCTAAATCTAGCGGAAAATTTTCCCCGCTATATCTAGCGGAAAAAATTTCCCCGCTAAGTCTAGCGGAAAAATTTCCCCGCTAAATCTAGCGGAAAAAATTTCCCGCTAAATCTAGCGGGAAAATCTCCCTGCTAAATATAGCGGAAACAATTTCCCCGCTAAATCTAGCGGAAAAAATTTCCCCGCTAAATCTAATGGGGAAATTTTGGTCACGTGACCTGGGGAGTCACGTGATATCCCGAGGTCACGTGATCCCTCCCGAGGTCACGTGACCTCGTAAGGGGGCACGTGACTCCCCCACGTGACCCCACCAAGGTCCCGTGCCCTCGGAAGGGTCCCGTGACCCCCCCCCCCCCCCCCCCGAGAACACGTGGCCCTCAGTACCCTTCTTTCCTCCCCCTCAAGAGCTGCGCTCCAATTCGGCATTACAGGGAGTTGTAAACGGCTTTCACTTTTTTATACTTCGTTTTACCTTACGTCCAGACGAAGCCGCCGCTACAAGCTGATGGTACCAATCCGAAAGAGTGAAAAGGGCGCCATCATTGTGTTCGCCGTGTCTCTGGGCGTGTTCTGTCATCGCTGAACCAATCATGAAGAAAAAAGGCCCAGTGACTTGCGCTTTTGATGCAGCTATAATGGTCCCATTAGCTTGTAGCGTCGGCTGTGTCTGGAGTTAAGCTGAAACGTAGTGTGTTATCCAAGTCATTCTTATTGCACTCATTCCACATATTTTCAAACATTTTTCCTACCCTTTCCCCACGCAAAATGTTCCACTTCGGAAAAATCCCAAAGCCAGGGCCCATTATCCCAGTGTCAAAAAACGCTGTTGCAAAAACACACACACACACACACACACACACACACAAACACTCAAACACACACACACACACAAGCGCTGCTATCGTCAATTTATAAATAAAAAATGCCGCAAAAGTAACGTGCTTTACTTTCTGTCGGTGACGGTAGCACATTCCTTTTATTTCAAGTAACGTAGTTCGGTAACGCGTCCCTTCATTTCGAAAGTAACGTATATCGTTACTTTTTTCGGTAACGCCTAAGCATTGCAGCTGCATAACGCTGCGAGTACGGAGCGCTAGGTGATAGCGTGTTGACATTCATAATGATCGCGACTGTGTATTAAGTAACGCTGGAAGGGTCTTCCACACACCCACACACAAAATTGCATCCAAAAGCCTCGTAAAACAATCGTGTTGTACCTTTGTTAATTAAAAATTTGCTAATGTACACGACGAGGATTTTACGAGCTGTTTGAAACAGTGAAAAACACTGTTTCAAATTGGTATTGGTATGAACATTTGCCAGTCTAAGGCTAAACTTCGGCGACACAAATAATGCTGTGTCGCCGAATGTTGTGTTGTGTTGCAACAGCGAAACCTTTTTGGGCTATTTCATATGTTAAAAATAATTTATAGTGTGAGTGACAGCGACCCCCTCAACTGAAATTCAAGTAAAAAAACAAAAATAAAAATAAATAAACAACTCAACACGGTACATTTCTCTAATATCATACAAGGTGCAACAAATTGAAGCTTCGAGTGCTCGGACAGAATGTTCTTTTATAGAGCCCAGCTTGATTGTTTACTTGCATCAAAGTTGTCTTTTTTTTTTTTTACTTTGGACTGTAATTTTTTATTCCCCCACCTCCTTCCAAAAAAAAAAAAAAAGCTGTATTTCATTGTGGTATACTCATCTGCTTGTTGCAGGGCGCTAATTAAACCTGAAAGACGTTTCCACGTGGGAGAAACTTTGCGTACCACATCAGACTGCTCAGAGTTTCTGCCTACTGAAAAACCTAGCAGACAACAAGGATTTCTATCCGTGTGGGACCGTTCATGATTACGTAAGCCTGTTCTAAGCTGGTGCGAAGCTGGATGAGTATTGTCCTGTTTTGCGTCTTTTCATACCTGGTATTGTTATTTCTGTGGGTACCACAAGATTGGCTGCAGAAGTCGCACCGCCGTCTGCCCTCCCTTTCTGCTCCATCTCCCATGGTTGCCACTGCAATTCGGCCCCTTGGAAGAAGAGCTCCGCCCCCTTGTGCTCGCAGTTCGTTCCCTGCCATTCGTAGTCGAATTCTGCTCGGGCAATTTCTGTAAGGTGTGAAGATCGAATCTTCTTTACTTCCTTTCTTTTTATTTATACTACACCAATCCAGAAGCCCAACCAGAACGAACTAAAGGAACAAGCAAACAGGGACGCATCATGTAGATGAAGTAGATAAATTTAGGGGTTTACATTCGTATTGTGGTGTAATTCAAAAGGTAAAATAATCATATCACAAAAAAACACGCGTATCATAGCTGGATACTGAGCATCCCGAAAAAGACAATTAAAAAGACACGTAAATTAAACATAAAGCGATCCTTCTCTACTAATACGTGCTTCAAAGGTTTTACTTCACCTTTAAACATACGGTAAAGGATTACGTCGATACACTCCCAGACGAATCGAGAAAGACACAGCTGGGTACGATCAAGGAGCGTGGTTCAGTCTCAGCGTCGCTGCTTTCTGCTGCTGAAGAAAAGGCAGGCATGCTACAAAAGCAACAACTGTACCGTGTATCACCGCCATAGGTTTTGAGAGTTACACGTCAACAAAACGGACATGCTGTGTCGGCGAACAGAGGAAGGGACGGGAATGGAATTGTTGCATGTAGTTGGCTGAGCTGTGGCCATTCCCTGTTTAATCTGGCTAGTCGGTCCCATTCATCTGGGGAAAAATGTTGCCCACGGTTCTGGCACTGCCATGGGTTGACCTGGCTGATTGCGTTAAGAGGATTTCCGGATAGTTTGGCCTGCAAAGTTTCGAAGGATGAGTGTTAATAAACAGTCGCCAACACAAAGTTACTTTACTTGCCCTCAAATATCATCAAATTTGATGAGCGAAACTAAAACTGAAGGGCACCTGTGCTGGGAATTGGTCTAGTTGGCTATTCATTACTTGATCAAACTGCGCAGTAAATGACTACGAATGACGACGCAGAAACGAGAAAAAAAGAAGTAAAAAAACGGGATAACGTGCGTTTGCCGTGCAGTTTAGACAAGTAAAGAACTGAAGGCCACTTCACAAACAACGACACCGTCTTTCAGTTCGAGAGTGTCTGCGAGAGATTTCTATCTGAAGGACACGAAAAAATTAAATTCCAAGTGACTATACCATTTTCAAGAATGAATGTTTTGACCGAATACCACTGACCATCTTTATTTCCGCGAGAGATGTTTTATTATATATGCAACGTCTAACCGCCTGGGGGAGAAGGAGAATTTTCGCCGGTTCCGTCAGTGCTGCATCCACGGGACTAAAGCTGTTACATATAAAATGATATGCAACGTAGATCAATCAGTCAGCCTCGCGTTTTGCTAGAAACTAACATAAGCGGGGCTAATTTAGAAAAAAAAAATGAGAATGGGATTTAGCTGAAGTACTTAATGTACGTTCACGAGTTCCCCTGAAACCCGTATGAGTAAAAAGCTCTTGAGATCAGCCAGAAGTTGATTACAAAATCTTATAATATGGTTAAGTGATCTCCAGTATAAATTGATTGCCATTGATCACCAGTATAAAGTTGACAGTCCCTATTGCAATACAAATATCTTATTCTATTATATCTCCCGACTCATGACGATTTTAAAGTGGCTTTTCCTTTTCTTCACCTCCGTTAAAGGGAAGCTGAAACACTTATTTCAGAAAATGAGTTTGATTCTGCTTCCAGCGTAGTTTTATCCCGTAAATCTGAATATTGCGTTCGTTTTGTTCGAAGATTTAACCAAACGCGAGAAAACACGAAAACTCTCGGACTTACTTCATAGGAGGATCTTTCGGCCGCCAAGCGCGTGTCCCTCGCATGGCAGCGCGTGCAATTGCAATCTCGCCACTAACCCGCACTGGCACCAGTCGTGACCATACCTCGGCAAACCTCACTCATGAGGGTCCTCACTCACCCTCACTCACCCTCATCTTCACAGGTGAGGTGAGGGTGAGTGAGTTTCTGAACCAGGAAAATTCATGAGTGTGAGGGTGAGTGAGGGCCGTGAGGGTGGTGAGGGCCGTGAGGGCCGTGAGGGCCATGAGGGCCATGAGGGCGGTGAGGGCGGTAAGGGGTATGAGGGCCATGAGTGCGTGAGGGGCGTGAAGGCGGTGAGTGGCGTGAGGGCCATCAGTGCGTGAATGGTGTGAGGGCGGTGAGTCCGTGAGGGGTGTGAGAGCCATGAGTGCGTGAGGGCAGTGAGTGGCATGAGAGGCGTGAGGGCTGTGAGGGCCGTGAGGGCGGTGAGTGCATGAGGTGGTGTGAGGGCCATCAGTGCGTGAGAACGGTGAGTGCGTGAGGCCCCCTTCAGATCGAGCATCTTTCTCAGCAATTTTGGTTTTAATGGTGGGTTGTTCTCTAGCTTTCCCTAGATCGACACGAATTGCTGAGATCGGGTCCGGCTCGAAATAAGCAAGCAACTAGGAGCAATTCGAATACATTTGAAGCGGCTGCATCCAATCAGGGACGCAAAATTTTCACGTGATACCTCGTGCCAGTGATGATGACACCGAAAGACTTGTTTCTGGTTTGAAATTGATCGTTTTTTTGGAAATAAACTGTTTCAGAAAGGTGCATTAGTATTCTTAACGAGGTTTAAATGCATAAAAACACGTTTATAACGCGTAAATGTGTCTAAATAGTGAAAGAAAAAATGAAAGCCGCTTACAACTCCCTGTAACGCCGAATTAGAGCGCAGCTCTTGAGGAGGAGGAGGGAAGGGCACTGGGGGGGGGGGGGGTTAAACTAACCAGGGGGGGTCACGTGACCTTGGGGGTCACGTGACCACCAGTGATGATGACGATGTCGATGCGAATCTCGGTGACGTCATCAGTGACGTCGCCGATGACGTCATCAGTGATGATGACGATGCGGATGCCGGTGACGACATCAGTGACGTCACTGATGACGTCATCAGTGATGATGACGATGCGGATGTCGGTAACGTCATCAGTGATGATGACGATGACGATGTGGATGCCGGTGACGTCATCAGCGATGATGACGATGACGATGTGGATGCCGGTGACGTCATCAGTGATGATGACGATGACGATGTGGATGCCGGTGACGTCATCAGTGATGATGACGATATTGATGTGGAGGCCGGTGACGTCATCAGTGATGATGACGATGACGATGTGGATGCCGGTGACGTCATCAGTTATGATGACGATGACGATGTGGATGCCGGTGACGTCATCAGTGATGATGACGATGACGATGTGGATGCCGGTGACGTCATCAGTGATGATGACGATGACGATGTGGATGCCGGTGACGTCATCAGTGATGATGACGATGACGATGTGGATGCCGGTGACGTCATCAGTGATGATGACGATGACGATGTGGATGCCGGTGACGTCATCAGTGATGATGACGATGACGATGTGGATGCCGGTGACGTCATCAGTGATGATGACGATGACGATGTGGATGCTGGTGACGTCATCAGTGTCGATGACGTCATCGGGGGGTCACGCGACATCGGCGGGGGTCACGTGACCTCGGGGGTCGCGTGACCTCGAGGAGGGGGTCACGTGACCTCAGGGGAGTCACGTGACTTCGGGGGGTCACGTGACCTCGGGGGGGGTCACGTGCCCCCCCACGAAGTCACGTGACCCCGGTGGGGGGCTCGCGCGGTGCATTATGGGACATTTCCCATGATGCACCGCGCGGTTACGCCGACGCCGACGCCGACGGCGACGGCGACGCCAACGGCGACGGCGACGCCGACGCCGCTCAAGCCGGAAACGGGCCCCTAAGAGCTGCGCTCTAAAAGTGAAAGCCGCTTACAACTCCTTGTAACGCCGAATTAGAGCGCAGCTCTTGAGGAGGAGGAGGGAAGGGCGCTGGGGGGGGGGGGGGGGTTAGACTAACCAGGGGGGGTCATGTGACCCCCAATGCCGATGATGTCATCACTGACGTCACTGATGCTGTCATCAGTGACGATGACGATCCGGGTACCGATGACGTCATTAGTGACGTCACTGATGACTTCACCAGTGATGATGACGATGACGATGCGAATGTCGGTGACGTCATCAGTGACGTCGCTGACGACGTCATCAGTGATGATGACGATGACGATGCGGATGCCGGTGACGACATCAGTGACGTCACTGATGACGTCATCAGTGACGATGACGATGCGGATGTCGGTAACGTCATCAATGATGATGACGATGTGGATGCCGGTGACGTCATCAGTGATGATGACGATGACAGCGTGGATGCCGGTGACGTCATCAGTGATGATGACGATGACGATGTGGATGCCGGTGACGTCATAAGTGATGATGACGATGACGATGCGGATGCCGGTGACGTAATCAGTGATGATGACGATGACGATGCGGATGTCGGTAACGTCATCAGTGATGATGACGATGTGGATGCCGGTGACGTCATCAGTGATGATGACGATGACGATGTGGATGCCGGTGACGTCATCAGTGATGATGACGATGACGATGTGGATGCCGGTGACGTCATAAGTGATGATGACGATGACGATGTGGATGCCGGTGACGTCATCAGTGATGATGACGATGACGATCTGGATGCCAGTGACGTCATAAATGATGATGACGATGACGATGTGGATGCCGGTGACGTCATCAGTGATGATGACGATGACGATGTGGATGCCGGTGACGTCATCAGTGAGGATCACGATGACGATGTGGATGACGGTGACGTCTTCAGTGATGATGACGATGACGATGTGGGTGCCGGTGACGTCATCAGTGATGATGACGATGTGGACGCCGGTGACGTCATCAGTGACGATGACGATGCGGATGCCGGTGACGTCACCAGTGATGATGACGATGACGATGTGGATGCCGGTAACGTCATCAGTGATGATGACGATGACGATGTGGATGCCGGTGACGTCATCAGTGGATGACGATGACAATGTGGATGCCGGTGACGTCATCAGTGACGATGACGTCATCGGGGAGTCACGTGACCTCAGGAGAGTCACGTGACTTCAGGGGGTCACGTGACCCCGGTGGGGGGCTCGCGCGGTGCATTATGGGACATTTCCCACGATGCACCGCGCGGTTACGCCGACGCCGACGGCGACGCCGACGCCGACGGCGACGGCGACGCCGCTCAAGCCGGAAACAGGCCCCTAAGAGCTGCGCTCTAAAATAAAATTTATGAGGACGATGGCAAATTGCAGGAATTGGTTGCTGCGTGTGATCGCGGGCGGCCCGTGTTGCTAACTTGCTGGTGTTGCGACGTAAAGTTTCTGGGCGAAATTGCCCCATCTGAAGCTGGCCTGAGTGGCGTGAGGGCGGTGAGTGGAGTGAGGGCGGTGAGTGGGGGGAGGGCGGTGAGTGGCGTGAGGGCGGTGAGTGGCGTGAGGGCCGTGAAGGCCGTGAGGGCGGTGAGTGGCGTGAGGGCTATGAGTGCGTGAGGGCCGTGAGGGCGGTGAGGGCCGTGAGGGCAGTGAGTGGCGTGAGGGCCGCGAGTGGCGTGAGGGCGGTGAGTGGCGTGAGGGCCATGACTGAGTGAGGGGCGTGAGGGCGGTGAGCCCGTGAGGGCCGTGAGGGCCGTGCGGGCCGTGAGGGCCGTGAGGGCAGTGAGGGCAGTGAGTGCGTAAGGGCCGTGAGGTTCAGTGAGGGTGAGTGAAGGGCTGAAGGTGAGTGTGACTGTGAGGGTGAGGGTGAGTGAGGGGCTGAAGGTGAGTGTAGCTGTGAGGGTGAGGGCGAGTGAGGGGCGTAGGTGAGTGTGGCTGTGAGGGTGGGGGTGAGTGAGGGCGACCTAAAACGCCGACCTCTGGTCGTGACATCTGGTCGTGACGATGCGGATGCCGGTGACGCCATCAGTGACGCCACTAATGACGTCATCTGTGACGTCACTGATGACGTCACCGTCAGCCGCATCGTCATCACTGATGACGTCATTAGTGACGTCACCGGCATCCGCATTGTCATCTTCATCATCACTGATGA